TGGGAGCTTTTCTGTTCCTGGCTGCCTGCTGTCCTCCCTTCCCTGCCTCCTGAAGGAGCTGCTTCAACCCGGCCCATCCCTGACCAAGCCTCACTCCTGGGGAACCCTGAGGGCACTGTGGACACTGTGTGGCTTGGGCCACAGTGGAAAGCAACTGAGATGGTGGACAAACCATCCCTGCTGCCTGTAGAGCCCTGCAGCCCGTGCTGCTGAATGCCAGGCCTGGGGCCCCAAGAGGTGCCACAGTCTCCATGGTCTTCCAGGGAAGAACCTGCTGTCTTCATCACTCCTACAACTGAGAGTGCCTGGCACGGGGTTAGGTACAGATGGGCTGTTAGACCATCCCAGGAAGCAAGAGTCTGTACTGGTGGGGCTGGGAGGATGTCCTCATCTGAGCTTTTTCTGGCTCTTTTAGTTGGTCTGCTAGAAAATGTCACCTCTGCCTGCAAACCTCTCTTGCAAGGGATCAGTCTGATGATCTTAGAAATGCCTTCTTGTGTTTTACCGTTGCATCTGGAGAGAAAGAGGGCAAAGGCTGCTGAAAATCCTGACAGAATTCAGCCTCCCCACAGACCTCATCCCAGCTGCCATTTCCTTTGGTGGGAGCAGGGCTGCATCCTGAGAGGGCAGAAATGACCAGAATCAGCATCACCAGCCCTCATGATTGAACAGTGTAAATGTCTGGGATTATGTGAATCTTAGACTTATTTTAAACACAAGAAACTAGTGCTTTTTTTGCCCCAGAGGTGTAGAAAGCAGCATGAAAAGTGCCTTGAGCATTTCCAAAAGGACATCCTCAAGGCAGCTGAATAAGCCCTGCTCTCAGCAAAGGCAACATGACCTGTCTTCTCCTTTTTTAATTGTTTGTCTTTTCAAGTAGTCTGATGATTTTTGAACACTTAGGAATGTCAGTGCTGCAAGAAACACCCCCCCCCCCCCTTTTTTTTTTTTTTCCTGAAATAATTTATTCCATACAGTGGGGATGGTCTTGGTCTGTAGTTTTTTTTCATGTACAACAGGATCTGTGCTGACCTGTGTCACTGATGAAGGTCCAACAGAATCCTGACACAGCATCACCCCCTCAATGACTTGCCTTATTACCTGTAATCCCCAAATCCACATAATCGAATTGACACAAATAATGGGTTTTAGCTCCTTTGAACTATCCACAGGCACTCATAAGAAAATAGCTCTTTTTGCTTGCTCATTTTTGAGGGAGTGCTGGATAATACTTAAAGCTATCTCACAGACTAATATTTATGCCATCTAAGAACCCCTTCCTGTAAGGTGTTTAAGCAGGTATTTAAGTCTCTGGAAATTTGGCTTGCACTTGGAAGTTCAGCATGTGTTTGGGTGCTGTCTTCAGGTAACCTGGAGTAGATTTAAAGCCTAGTGAGGCAGGGCTGTGGTCAGATGGGTGCTCATATATTTCTCACCAGAAATCACCTTTTACCCTGTGCTGTATTCACAGAGATATGCAGCTGTGGTACCAGCTCAGGACTGAAGAACTAGAGCACATGCAAGCTGCTTACTTTGGTTTTAAGGGAAGAAACAATAACAACAACACCAAGAAACTCAGGAATAAATCCGTATTTGCTGATGTGACTAACATGGCATATGATAACCAAGGCTTCTGCAGGTAAGGCTGCTTAAATGTACTGAGTTAGAATGAATGAAGACAGGCTGAGAGAGTTGGGGTGTTAGAGGAGAAGGCTCCAGAGAGACCTTAGAGCACCGTCCAGTGTCTGAAGGGGCTCCAGGAAAGCTGGGGAGGGACTTTTCATCAGAGAAGACAGTGATAGGACAAGGGGTGATGGTTTTAAACTGAGAGAGGGAGATTTAGGTGAGATATTAGGAAGAAATTCTTCACTCTAAGGGTGGTGAGGAACTGGGATGGGTTGCCCAGGGAGGTTGTTGATGCCCCATCCCTGGAGGTTTTTAAGGCCAGGTTGGATGAGGTTTTGTGCAACCTGGTCTGGTGGTTCCCTGCTCATGGCAAGGGGGGTTCGAACTTGATGATCTTTAGGGTCCCTTCCAACCTTGATGATTCTATGATTCTATGAATCTGTCCAGCGGATTTTACAAAGAATATTCTTGGCAAATGCGTTTTAAAAGGATGCCCCTGAAGAGAAGGTGATGCCAGTGGATTGTCAGAGCTTGTCCTTGAACTTGCCTGTCTCGGAGGGAATTAGTGCTGCCAGGAGGTGGTGCAGCAGACGGGCTGAGCGTGCTCCTCTCCTTCTGTCCTCTGTCCCCAGCAGTGCTTGGTGAAGCCTGGTCTGCAGGGGAGGTTGTACTGGATTAACTGGAGAGAGGTTTTAATTGGCTTTGTTAAATTGATGCTTAACTGCAACAGGGAAGTCACAGCTCTGCCTTGGTTGGTGGCATCAAGGTCCAGCTTGCCTGGGAGCCTCAGGAGAGGAGCGGGACAGGGGCAACAGGGGCTGTGGCAAGGAGAGCACCCGGTGTCACTGCCTGTCGCATGGTGACCATGAAAGCTCTGCTGAGACACAGGTTTGGTTGTCAAGGGGTGCAGGGCAGGCTCAGTGGGACCCTCAGGGAGGCAGCCTGGCTGTCCCCGCTGGAAACAGCACATCCCGGGTTGGGGGCACAGCTGCTGCCAGTGTCAGTGCTGACTGTCCAGCTGTGTTGCACTGCCCCTCTTGTTGACAACACATGAAAAACAGAAACATGAATACGTTAGGTGCTAATTGCTGTTTTCCTCCTACCATTCGTAGAAACACTATGTGTCTTTGGGTATTTGGGTCCTTTAGGTTCTACTTCGTCATCATGTACGATGCTCTAACCCTCAGTCCTTGTTGGCTTTTAATTCACTGCTTACTTGAACAGCTTTTACGTGCAGCAGTATCTGTGATTTGTAGTGGTTACCTGCAGAAAGCAGTTTCATGCAGATTATAAACCTCCCTCCATGTCACAGAGCAGCTGGAAATGATATTCAAATGGAGCACTTGCACAAAAGTCTGATGGCTGTTTAATCAATTCCTAGCTTTGGGTGATTGCAGGAAGATGTATAAAGCTAATTAAATGCTGATTATAACCTAAACAGTTTCTAGAAGGCCCTGGATTCCATTTTAATTTTGGGGCAACTTCAGTCTGCTACAATGTTAATGTTTGGTATTTCTTTAGAAAACTGGAGAATATATAAACTTCAGTGGGAAATTGCAGAGGGCAGGAGGAGAACAGCCTGTCAGCTCTTTTTTTCCTGCCTAGAATAGTACACTTGCTGTGTTAAATACTGGTGCACGTACCCACCTCCTGGGGCACAAGGTCCCCTGTTCATCAAGGACTGCTTCATTTCCAGCAGGCACAGGGGATGTGATCCTGGGTCACTAGTCAGAGCTAAAACCAGCTAGGAGAGCAAGTGTATTAGTGTTTCCAGCCCAGAACCTAAAGTCTAGCCATTTCTCACATGGAGAATGGACACTGCATCTAATCAGAGATGGAAATGGCATTGAAGCTGTTACAGACCCTGAATGAACTCTTGGGATTGCTGTGGGAAACAGGGGTCACCCTTCATCAGTTCGTACCTTGTTCCCTTTCCTCACTCAGATGAGATCCCTTTAAGCAAGGTTAGTAAAATATGCTAATTTCTATGGGTTAATTCCATTAAATTGATATCTCTGGGGGATCAGATGTGGGAATTCTGTGACTGTATTTTATGCCACCTCTTAAAGACAACAAATGATCTATCAGGTCTTTGTTTCACTTGCAAGGCTTGGGTTTTTGTGTGTAGTGAGTTAGGCCATCCTGTGCACATCTAGCTCACTGGGAACAGCAGGACAGTGTGGGCAAATCCTTGGGGAAGTGCAAACATGAAGCTGGGTGATGCCTGGAAAACCATCCTGAAAGGACATGCTTCCTACCTGGATTGATTATTTCTGCACCTTTCTCCACATAATGTGGACATGTTGTCAGTCTATGCTTAGAGGAAACCTCTATCCTTGTGTTAACATTTCAGACATTTAGAGGAATGTGTGCAACACGTTGCTGGACCTCTGAGCAAACCAGAAATCCTACTTTGTTTTTCTCATAAGGACTTCTAGGAATCACAGGAGGCTGGTGGTTTCCTCCCTGCCTTTTCAGGGCTGCAGCCTGCGTGGCTCTGATGCAGCTTGGAAGTGGCTCTGCAGAGAGGGAGGCTGAGAGAGGAGAGGTGCCCTTGGCTGAGAAAGGAGGGGGTGGAGGCTTGCCAATTTATGGCTTTTTTACAGTAGCATTTCCTTTGCTTAAAGAAAACTGTTCTGCTGCTTCTTCCTGTAACATATGAAGTATCTGGAAGAGTGAGAACTCTTCCACCCTTGAAGAGGATCTTCTTGAGTACATCTTAGCCTATTTTTGACTAGGAAAGGATGTAGGTCATGCTGCTTTTTAGACTTAATTGAAATAGATTTAGAGATTAACTAGAGATTACCATTTTGATTCACCATTTAAGGGATCAAAATTTCTGGAAGAACAAACAAAATAAAAAACCAATTCTTTCAGTTCAGCCAGTATAAAATAAAACAAAAAGGCAATTCTTTCAGAGACGTAAGATACCTGTTCTGCTTTACAGAGGAATTAAGGATTAAAAAACTATCATCTGTTAAAGCAGTGCCTTAATACTCCAGTCAGACAGTTTTGGCTGTATGTGACTTAATATGGATGCAAAATGCTGATGTACAGGAGTTATAAATAATGTAGAAGCCTTGGTGTTGGGCAGCAGAGGCTCCCGTGGGCTCTTTCTGGACCTGTCTGCCACAAAATGAGATCTTTGTTTGAGGCATGGAACGAATGTGATGACTAAATAGTTCTGCAATTAAATGTTGAATTTTAGTGGCAACCACTCCAATTTTAATGAGACTCAGTCAGGTTTCTTGATTGCTTGAAATATTGTTTTAAAATGCTGAGAAATATTTGCTCTACAAATACCTGGGATCATTAACTACCGAGTGCAGTCCCTGCTGGTGCCCCCTCTTTCATTTGGATATAAGGAATCATCATGAGGATAAAAATACCAATTTTAGCAGAAAGTCTTATATGCAGGAGCTACATAGATATATTGGCACTTTTCTAATATTTGCAGAGCTTTTTAAGCAGGGAAAGCCAAGTTACAAGGTGTGGGGCCAGCAGGACAGACCTGTTTCTCCCCAGCATGGCTTCTCAGAAGTGTGGGGCATAGAGCAGAGATAGCAGGTTGCTGCGTGGTGCAGAGGTTTGAGGCAGATTAGCTGGAGAAAAGGGTCTGTCATCTATGGGAGGGTGATGAGCTGCAGCTCTGGGCCATGTAGTTAGACAACAATGTGCAGGAACCTCCCACCCAGCCTTGCTGGGCAGAGGCAGGACCTGTCAACATGGGACCAGCTCCCGCAGCCTGGCTGCAGCATGGCAGAGGGCCTAAAATCAAGAAATCTGCTCTCTGGGATGTTTTAAGATGTAAAAGTCTTCCCAGTCCTGCATGAGAATCAAACCAGGACTGTTGGCATTGTTCATCCTAAGTGAGAGACCTTCATGAAAGCAGCAGAGGCTGCAGCAGCTCGGGATGAGGCGGACGTGGTGAGTCCTGCCAAGGAGGGGACATCTGGGGATCCCCTCACTGCAGGAAGGACATTGGGGGGCTGGAGCGTGTCCAGAGAAGAGCCACCAAGCTGGGGAAAGGTCTGGAGAACAAGTCCTACGAGGAGAGGCTGAGGGAACTGGGATTGTTTAGTTTGAAGATGAGGAGGCTGAGGGGAGACCTCACTGCTCTCTGCAACTCCCTGGAAGGAGGGAGGTGGGAGCTGGGCTCTTCTCCCAGGTGTTTAATGACAGGACCAGAGGAAATGAATGGCCTGAAGCTGCACCAGGGAAGGGTTAGACTGGACATTAAGAAGAATTTTTTTACCAAAAGAGTGGTTGGACAATGGAAAGCTGCCCAGGGAGGTGGTGGAGTCACCATCCCTCAAAGTGTTTAAAAGAAATACAGATGTGGTGCTTAGGGACATGATTTAAGCACTGAACGGGTAGATTGGGTTATGGTTGGTGGATTTAGGTTATGGTTGGACTCGAGACCTCGAGGTCTTTTCCAGCCAGGATGATTCTGTGATTTTGCAGTTCTGTGACTTCAGAGAACCAGCATTTGAAAGGCTGGCCAGCATTTCAGAGGCTTTTTGGAATTATTTTTGAGTCAGTTGTTTTCTGATGAAGAATAATTCCTGACCCTACAGTAGTCTTTCTCTGGAATAATTGCTTGGGCAACCACTGCCTGGGATGAGCAATCGTCTTCCATCCCATGACACAGCCAAGTGGAGAGCTTGAACACAGCCAGCTGCTGGAGCAGGCAGGTTGTCCTCTGCCCCATGACTCACAGCACAAAATACCAGTGAAGAGAAGCTTAAGGACAGCTGACCTTCCCCTGTGCCAGCTACAGCCCAGCCACTGCAGGGCTAGATGATCTGTAAGGTCCCTTCCAACCCAAACCACTCTGTGATTTTATGATACTGGTAAGATTCAAGTGTGAATGTCAGTAAGAGATCTGGGCACTCCACTGTTTGAGCCACAGCACATTGATACAGCAGTGTGAGCAGGAAGGCAGCTGTCCCAGGAGAGATACAGGTAGCTGAGGGAGCTCCTTGCAGTCTGCATCAAACTTCTAATTGTGGTAAGAAATGGGCACACCTAGGGAAGCCTCTATTTCCTTTGCTTTTTCAGCATAACACTCCTGTAACCTTTCCTGGAATGGGCACTCCATGAACTCGGGTATGTGCTGTTGTTTTGCAAGGGAGAATTGATGGTCCAGTATTTTCCACACTCAGGAAATTTAGCTGTAGGCCAACTCTTCTTCATCCTCACTCAGCTGAACAAACCAGTCCAGCCCAAAAATACATCTAAAGAGCAGCAAAGAAATTTGGTGATTTTTTTTTTTTTCCCCCCTGGTGTGGAAGCATTTGGAAGAAGTTCCACATTCCAAATTTGGACTGTTTTGAGATGAATTATTTTACGCAGCTCTAGGCCAAGTTATTTAGCATTCTCTGTGAAGTAGCTGATCTGACTGCAGGAGTGAGTCAAATGGAAAAGCCCATGTCTCAGAAGGTTTGAAGTCCTCCTCTCAGATATCCACTTCATCTGGAGCATATTATCAAGAAGAAAAATCCCTGCTGCAGAGAAACAGGTTAGTATATTCTCCCACAGAATATATTTTTAGTACCTGAAATTTTGGTACTTTCTGACTCCAAGATCCATCACCAGTGTACCTGACAGAAAGCAAGTAAGGACATTTAACAGAGATGTCCAAGTGAAAAGGTTTTGCATAAGAAAAAAAAACAAGACAAGCCAGCATACTCTTAGGAGAGGCAACTTAGTGATTTCACTGAGTCAGGCTAAGAAGTCCTGTGCAAGGTTGGTGAAATTAGCTCACACCTTTGGCCTCCACAGTAAAATGAAATGTGTTTTCTTTTTCTCTTTGGTTTGTTGGCTATAATGGTCGACATTTTCCACTTCCTTGTGTAAGGGGTTGCAAGGAAAGTACAAATCAGAAACTCCTGTTGCTCTAAAAAGTGTCCATGTCTGGCCAGGCTTGCTAAGGAGCATGGCTGCAAGCCAAGGAACCTTCAGGACACATAGACAAGATAGGATGGGACACTTGGCTGCATTTTTGCCTTGCCCTTTGCACCCATGAGGACACTTTTTCAGCTGCTTTTCCCCTCTGAACACCTAAGTAGAGGAGATAAAAAAGCTGAAGGACCTGATGCCCTTCAGCTAGCAGGGTAGTGTGTAGATTTAGCACAGTGAAAGGGGAAAATACTTGAAGAAATAACCATGTTGAGAGACAAGCTGCTGCAGAGCTTGATGGAAAACAAAAGCAGAACAAGAAAAAGCCACCAGGACTCCTAGAGTGTCTGCCAGGACATGAACAAGTGGGAGAACTAAAGGGGCAAAACATCTACAATGCTGACTTAGTGCAGGACTGTTAGAGGTCCTGGATAAAGCTTTTACATAGATTATCCCACCCTGTGAGTTTTCCCACCTTGAGCTTCTCTCTTCATGGAGGGTTTGTTATTACTGTGCTCTCACTTCCCCACCACCACCTTTCAGAGACTAAGATCTTCCAGCACCTTTTGACCCCCACGTTTCAAAGAAAATTCGGTCAGGGGAAGTGAGCTGTGGTTTCATCTTGGGGCCCTGTCACAAAGGGTAGAGTGGCTGGCTGCTAAATTATACCAGTTTCTGAATTTCAATCTTAGTTGTCATTACAACGAGCGTGGAGGGTGTGTGCACAGCAACATGTGCTTTCCATAAAGCTGCTCTTACTGCTTTCATAATGCTGCCATGATTACCCCAGGGTCTTGTAGAATGTCACCAGACATACAGCAACAAAACAATCCCCTCTGGAACTCCAGTGTCAAAGCCTTTTTTCCGAGGCAGTGCCAGCAGTGGGCAGCACAGCAGCAGCCCCTTGGCCACAGATCTCACACTCCTTGCATCTCCCATCCCCTTAAGCTAGGAACAGCTCTCAACTCCCACAAAGCAAAATTATTGTGAATCCTCTAGAACTCTAGATGGACTGATGCTGTGGGGGCTGTTCATCTCCCCGCATGGGAGCTCTGACTTTATCTGTCAAATAAAGCCTGGCCTTGTCAAACACACTGCAGTGGAGCCAGGCTACTCAGCACCTCACATCCCTGGAGGGGCAGGCTGCCTTTCCAGATAAGAGTACAGGGAGGTCTTCTAATCCTCTTCCCATGAAGTTTTGCAGTAGCTCAGCTGGAAACTCGAGTTAAGGAAAGTTGAAGAGCTTGAATAAAGAGTCACACTTACTCAGTATAAAGTACAGAGCGTGAAAGTGCACTTTGAAGGCTGTGTCTGACTGATAGCTGTGCATGCAGAGCAGAGCCCACTGTGTCCACCTTCCTCTGTCCCTTGGTGACACCCCTCTGAATAGCTCTGTTCAGCCCACCTTAGGTGGAACTCCACTGGCTTGGCTGTCCCTCTGCTGTCCCTGCTGTGAATGGAGGGTTCCCATGGTCACCTCACCCAAGACTTATTTCAGTCCCAAAACAGGAGGAAGAAGTTGCTTAGCCAGGGGTTCAGTTGTCTTTCAAGTAGAGTTTTAGGCAGTTTGGCTGAGTTGATGGTGGCCTGTGGGTAAATGCAGAGTGTCACAATGCAGAGCTTGATAGGAGAAAATGACAGAATGGGGTGAATTCTGACCAGGTAAACTGTGTTGTACAATACCCAGAATACCTAGATTTGAACTGTAATCCTGGCAGGGCTCCTTGCAAAGGCTGTGGCTACCCCATGCAAAACTCATCCCTGTTCTTCTCCCTGTACATGCTCCCAGTTACTCATGCTGGAAAAAAAACAAAAAAAAAACTTTTTAAAAATTAAAATAAATAAATATATATATATATATAAGAAAACACAGTAGCAAGGATTTCAGAAGAGTTTCTTTCAGCAGTGAGATCTGCAGCATTAGTCCACACAGCTTCTCTCCCCTGATGCAAGCCCCAGGGGTGCTCAGAGAGGTGTTTGGTGTCCAGCACACAGATCCCTCAGGGCTTGTTGGCACACAAAGATTAAAACACACAGTTCTAACAGCACAGGTCAATACAAAGTGGGTAAAGTTACCAAGCTGGATTTTTGGGAAATAGATGAGTTTGTTGGTGTCCAACTTGGCGGGTAAATTCTACTGATCTGAGCACCTCCTTGATGGGTGTGTTCTGAGTACACTGACACAGTGTGAGAGTTGTTGTAGGATGGGCTCACACTATCTGATGTAGTTCATGCCCCGAATAGTTGTGTAATACAGCTTTCCAGTGAAGAGCAAGGTTTATTCTCCCTTCCAGGACAGATCGATCTGCAGTACCAGGACAGCAAGGCCTGGGTTACTTGATTTTGTTTTCTGTTACTCCCCTGCAGTTCCTGTAGGTATGCACATCTTGTGTGTGAGCATTTCTGCTGCCTTTCTGCAACTGATCATTTCAGAATGCAGCTTCTGCTTCCTGACCAGCTTTCCATGTACCAAAGGGTGAGCCCAGGCTGTCCTGGATGTGGCTGTGCTGGCTTCTGTGTTTGGTGGCCAACACCAAGGGCTTACAGCGAGATGGAGGGGCCATGGGAGCTGACAGCCACAGGGCATGTGGGACAAATAACCTCAGCATCAGCCCAGCGTGCTGCTGTGGGGTAACTGCTGCTGGACAAAAGGCCCTGGGCTGGGAATGCAGTGATGTGGCCCTGAAAGGGCCTGGTCTGATCTGCTTCTGGTTCCTGGCACCATGTGCTGAGAACCAGCAACACCCATCATGCCTCTTGCAGCAGCTCCAGAACAAGCTGATCCCATCCCCTGTTTTCCTGTAGGACTGGTGTGTGGTTCAGTGGCTCCAGTGCTCCCAGCAGTGCTCCACAAACCAAGCAGGGACTTGCCTTCTGCCCCAGCCTGAGCTTTTGAATCTTCTTAGTGGTACCCTCAGCCAGTGTCACGTTAGATGAAGCTGGGGACTCGTTTGACGGGAACAACCAACATCTGCCCCAGCCTCAAAGAAAGTCAACTTCATAAGCCTGGTCAAGATCTGCACCAGTTTTTATGGAGACAATTATTTGCCCCAGTGCTGCCAACTGGTTTTAATGCTGGGAGAACTGGGTCCATATGTCACAGCACAAGTTCTTTGCAAAATGCCTGATGTACAAATAAAATGGATTAGAAAGTTGTGTGCTCACCAGAGCAAACAAAACTTCCTTACTGTGAGCAGAGCCCTGGGACAGACTGCCCAGAGAGGCTGTAGAAGCTCCTTCTGTGGAGACTTTCAAACCCATCTGGATGTGTTCCTGAGTAGGTGACCCTGCTCTGGCAAGGGGGTTGGACTAGATGATCTCCAGAGGTCCCTTCCAACCCCCACTACTCTGTGACTGTGACACTCTGGGTTGTCACTAATACAGTCACCTAACCTGGTGCAGTTGCTGTGGTTGCTGGGTTTTCTACCTTTAATAAAACTTTAACATTTAATTACCATTCAGCAATCCGATGTTTTTATGTGCCCCCCCCCCAAAAAAAAAAATGGATTAAACTTGTCAACTGATGTGTATAAACAGAAATAACTTTTCTTTCGGTCTTGCAGGTTCCAGGAGGAGTGGTCTCGGAACACCAGAGCTCCTGGGTGTTGCAAAGCTGAGGATCACCCACCTGGGTTAGCCAGGAGCAGTCAAGCACCCGCCAAGCAGGCGGTGCCAGGACGCAGCCCCGTGGCCCCCGCAGCCACTGCCATCCACGTTATTGAAGTCTGGGGACATAAGGAGAGTTACAACAGGCCAAGCTGCCAGGTACCTGGGTAGCTGGTGTCTGAACTACAACTGCTCCTCTGGACCAAAATCAAATTTGTACAGAAATACGTGCCTTAAAGACAACACAGGAAGTTAATTATTCATATGAATTGGAAAGTTTTCTATATCCGAAGATGGTTGTTTAACAGAAATGCTTCAAGGTGCAATACAAATAAAAGAGTGGCTGTTGAGGCCAGCAGTCCATAGCCATTCCCTGTGCTGGGCTCTCTGTTGTGACCATGGCAAAAGCATAACATCATTTTTGTGCACATCCAGAGAGAAGTGGTACCACTTGGGATACTTGCCTCATGCAAACTCACTGATGATAATTACGCGTTTGATTGCGACCTTCTTTTAACCAGTGCTTTTTGTAAGCATTTCAGAGTGAAAAGTCCCCCATATTTTTACACAGTAGTATGGTAGCACTGCAATAAAATATTGCTTTTAAGTAAAAGCCCCTGTTGTTGTGTCTCAGGAAGGCCTTTCTGTTCAATTCCTCTGCTCCACATTTAGGGGCTGTGTGAGACTGGGTAAGTAGAGGTGCAGTTCCGATCCAGTGTCCCATTGGAGAGGGGGCAGAGGGTGGAGGGATGTGCCTTGGTGTGGCACACTTGGCCTGGCAAGGAATGGCACCCCAAGCACCCCCAGCTGCTGCAGTGTTGAGGTGCCCAAGCAGCTGGGCTGGGGACAGTGGTGCTGCCATCCCAGAGCGGTGAGGCACGGGTGGTCACTGCAGCATCCCTGTGAGAGCACTTGAAATTATTTCCTATTACTAATCTGCTCACTGTGTAAGGAAACATGGGGGCGGGGGGTCTTGTTTTGTCTATTTTGAACAGTTAAGTAACTGATATGGCTCTTACTCTGCTGTTCTCTAGGGCAGCACACAATGCTAATCTCACATTGAAGCCTTATTTCCTCTTCTGTCCAACGGGTATTGTCACATTCCTGTCATTATGAAAAAGTGATCTCATAGCAGGCTCCAGTAATTGTTTCAATGTATATCCCCCTTCTTATGAATCAGGTTTCCTCTTAAGAACTTCAGTTCTGAAGATTATTGAAATTCAAATTATTGTAGCTTGCTGGCAGGCCTAGAAATGCCCTGTTCCACCCTCAGATGGCAGAGCTGAAAAACACATGCTTGAACTTCAGCTCTGTAGAAGCTGCAGCAAATGATGGTTTTTGTGTGTCTTTCTAATAAACTCAGTTCTTCTGTATATTCCAGGACCAGGATTGCAGCCTAGAATAAAACAAGAACATTGAGATTCCATGGTGAAATGTGTCCTCAAGCTCTAAGGAATTATCTAAGCAATACTTTGAACCATCATTGCTAAAGCTTCAGGAAACTGAAGGGACAAGGGAAGTCTTAGAAGATGGGAAAGGGTAAATCTTAACTTTGATAAGGGGAGAGCAGAGAACGTCAAGAAGCACCAGAATTAAGAGGCTTCTCTGATACCCAGAGAGAGCACAGGACGAGTGATTAAACATTTTGTAAAGAAGGCACCTCTCAGCTTAGGATTAGAGTTGTAGGCATGGGAACTGTTCTGGGAACAGTTCTGTGCTAATAGTGATATGCTTGGTTCTTTCAGAGCAGCTCCGGTCATGTGTGAAGGGTGGCCAAGTTACTCTTGATCCTACCTCTGTGTAGCTCATTGAATTTCCTTCCTCTCCTACATCTCTATGTGTATGTTAATTTGATTTAATGATTTAGCTCCTTGGCATTTTAATTTTATCATGTGACTTTAATGATACGATTGCAAGTCACTGAGTGAAATAAGTTGTTGGGATGTCTGAGTGAACACTGTGTGAGAAGAGAGCAAGTGCAGTGTCCTGCACCTGGGAAGAAAACCCCAAGCACCAGTATAGGTTAGGGATGGATCTGCTGGAAAGCAGTTCTGAGGAGAAGGATCTGGGAGTCCTGGTGGACAGTAAATGATTCATGAGCCAGCAGTGTGTCCTTGCGGCCAAGAAGGCCAATGGAATCCCGGGGTGCATAAAGAAAGATTGTGGCCAGCAGGTCAGGGAGGTGCTGCCCCCCCTCTACTCTGCCTGGTGAGGCCACATCTGGAGAACTGGGTCCAGTTCTGGGCTCCCCAGTTCAAGGGAGACAGGGAGCTACTGGAGAGTCCAGAGGAGGGTGATGAAGATGACTGGGGGGCTGGAGCATCTCTCTTATGAGGAAAGGCTGAGAGAGCTGGGGCTGTTCAGCCTGGAGAAGAGAAGGCTGAGGGGAGACCTTATCAATGTATATAAGTATCTTAGGGTGGGTGCAGGGAGGATGGAGCCAGACTCTGCTCAGTAGTTCCTAGTGTCAGAACGAGGGACAACGGGTACTAGTTGGAACATGGGAAGTTCCATTTAGACATGAGGAAAAACTTATTTATGGTGAGGGTGAGAGAGCCCTGGGACAGGCTGCCCAGGGAGGGTGTGGGGTCTCCATCTCTGGAGACATTCAAGACCCACCTGCATGCAGCCCTGAGTAATGTGCTCTAGGTTATCCTAGTGCAGTTGGACTAGATGATCTCTAGAGGCCCCTTTCAACTCCAGCAATTCTGTGATTCTACAGCCAAGGTCAACCTGAGTGATGAGGAAAGCAAACCCTTGAGATGACAAGGACATTGGTAGCCACAGGGAGCAACGCAGAAGGTATATAAATTTACTGTCTCTGTGCAAGAGCATTGGGTTGCCAGCATTTATTTAGGTGTCTAACATGAGAGGCTGTAAAGGTACAACAAGATCAGGAAGCAACACCCATACTGTTTTTAGAAGATTTGTGGCTCATTTCCCTCTGGCACTGGGCTTAGTTTATGATGGCTGCACCCCCTGGAGTTAGCTTTATTGCTCATGTAAACATTATTTATTGTCAGAAGGAAAATAAGTGCAGGAAGGAGATGAAAGCAACTGAGAATCTTAAACACAATAACAACTCATATTTTTTAAGTTAACCCTAAATGTTTGCCAGCCAATGGTTTCAAATGGATTCAGGCTTCCATTTCTGCTAAGAAGACTTGTGTTTCCTTCTGTGTTTTCTTGCACCTAAAGAACAAGTTAAAATGCCACAAACAAACACAAAACAGCTCCCTCCCTGCATGGATGCTTATAATTTAACTGGTGTAAGTTCCAGTACAATGGGATAGTTCTTTGCAGATTTAAAAATCATAGAATCTATAGGGAGTTGGAAGGAACCTCTGAAGATCATTGAGTCTAACCCCCTTGCTCAGCAGAGGTCACACAGGAACGTGTCCACATGGGTCTTGAAAGTCTCCAGAGAAGGAGCCTCCACAGCCTCTCTGGGCAGCCTGGCCCAGGGCTCTGTCACCCTCACAGGAAAGAAGTTTCTCCTCATGTTGAGGTGGAACTTCCTGTGTTGTCACTTGGTGCCGTTTCCCCTCATCCTATCACAGGCACCACTGAACAGAGACTGCCCCATTCTTGACACCCACCCTGCAGGTATTTATGGACATTGATAAGTGCCCTTCTTAGTCTTTTCCTCTCTAGACTAAACAGCTTCAGGGCTCTCAGCCTTTCCTCATCAGGCAGGTGTTCTGGTCCCTTCATCATCCTCGTAGCCTCCATTGGATTCTTTCCAGCATCTCCCTGTCCCTCTTGAACTGGGGAGCCCAGAACTGGACACAACACTCCCAATATGGTCTTACGAGGGTAAGAGAAGAGGAGGAGGAGAACCTCCCTGGACCTGCTGGCCACACTGTTCTTAATACCTCCCAAGTGCTATTGGCTCTCTTGGCCACAAAGGCACATTGCTGTCCCATGGGTAACTTGTTGTCCACCAGGACCCCAAAGTCCTTCTGCATGGGGCTGCTTTCTAGCAGGCCAACCCCTAATCTCTATCAGTGCATGTTTTTTCTCCCCACGTGCAGGACTCTACACTTATTCTTGTTGAACCTCATGAGGTTCATCTTTACCAGCTCTCCAGTGGGCAACAGTGGGCAACGTGTTTATTAGAGCAACAGTGGGCAAGATGTTCATTGGAGCAACAGGGGGTAACATTTATGAGAGCAATTCCTTATCTACATTCCCTCAGCCAGCAGTTCAAAACTGTTTTCCTTGAGCAGGCAGCTCTGCTGGGGCTGCTGCTCTGGCCCGTTCTGAGCTTTGCCTGCCTGCAGAAAACTAAAGGACATGTTTTAAGATCTAATGCAAAATTCTAAACAAGGAATGTTTTTTAAGCCAGCTGACATACTGTTTGCTATGAGGGTGTCTGATCCTCACTTCCTTTTAAACCAAAAGTCATTCTTTAAAAATAAAGGGCAGATGGCAGTTGCCATGCTGGACTCCTGGGGTGCCTGAGCCTGGGAAACACCAGCTGCTCCACATGAGAAGCCCCTGAAATCTGCACCCACAGTGGTGAGTCCTGACAGAGATACCTCCTGGGGAGACACCTGCTTGTGTTTGTGGGGTAACACAGGGTAGAGTGTTGCCAGATCCTGTGGCTTTTGTCTCAAGTCTTGTGATAGTTCTTATTTTCTTAAGCTGCAAATGGCAGAGTTGGATTAATACGTGCAAATCACAGCTTCTGTGTAAAAATAGGGAAGTGTCTCACTTCTCTTTGAAGGTAGAAGTTTCAGTCATGAAGTGTAAAGCAACAGAAGGGAAACACAAGTCTCTTAAGTTTCTTTGATGTTAACAACATGATTTTGGGGAGGCCTGACATGATTCATGGACACTTGAAGGTGTCATGTCTATGTATGACCTTGACGTGTCTTCTGTCATGGAAAGAAAGGAAAATACTACATTTTTATCTCACTGGAGCAATGGAACTTGGGATGGACACCATAGTATCTGCAGCAGAGTTAACCTGGATTTCATGGAGCCTTCCACATGGATTTTTGGCTCTGCAGGCTTTCTCCTGGACACCTGTCCCTTGGGTATAATCCTGGAAGTCTCTTAATGATGCTGTTTTCCTCAGCATGCTCTGCTGTCAGTCTGACTTTGGGTTAGGGACTAGTATTGTTCCAAGGTTCCATGAGAAGCCCACAACCCAGAAAAGAGGAAGG